AAAATGATGGAAAATGTACTCCCTCTGTCTTCTAATATAAGGGATTTTGATATTTTGCTTGTACTGTTTGACCATTCGTCTTATTTAAAAAATTTTAGAATTATGATTTATTTTTTTAACTTACTTTATTATCCAAATTACTTTAAGCATAACTTTTCATTTTTCATATTTGCACAAATTTTTTTAGTAAGACAAATGGTCAAACAATACAAGCAAAATGTCAATTCTCTTATATTATTAATATTATTATAGGACAGAGGGATGCTTGGAAAGAAAGGCACCGCCAAATTGATTGTGAAGAAAAATCACCCGTGATCAGTTGTAGGCATCCTTCTCGGTGACTCTGTCACACTAATGGTAGAATCCATCAGCTATGACCTTGTTTTGATCTTAAAAAATTTTGGCAAAAAACATCACATCAAATATTTATACATATGTATAGGACATTAAATGTGGAAAAAAAATCAAATGTACAGTTTGCATGTAAATTGCGAGACGAATCTTTTGAGCCTAATTATGTCATGATTTGACAATGTGATGCTACAGTAAACTTTTGCTAATGACGGGTTAATTAGTCTTAATAAATTCGTCTCGCAGTTTACAGACGGAATCTGTAATTGTTTTGTTATTAGTCTACGTTTAATACTTTAAATGTACATCCGTATACTTCAAAAACTTTACACCCAAAAAATTAAACACACCCTATATACCAATCTAGCTAGCCTTCCTATAAGACTCTGCTGCAAACGTACTCCCTCCGTCTAAAAAAAATAAACCTAGGAGGGGATGTGACATTTTCTAGTATAATAAATATGGACAAAGAGTTATCCAGATTTATTGTATCAGGAGATGTCACATCCTTGGTTAGGTTGAGTTTTTTTAGACGAAGGGAGTAAGAGTCTTTCTAGTCTTTATGTGAATTTCAGATTTGACCATAAACGTACCTGACATACCTGCAAATGCCTCTTTCATTGTCGTCCTACTTTCTTTCTCTACCAGGCCCCCTACATTTGCTTTGCCTTTTATTATGGTACAGCTAGTTAGCAGACTATTATCATTTGTTCCTGACTGAATCAGTCAAATATGAAGCGATATTATGCATATAGTCAGGTCGTTGAGAACGAGATGCACTAGGAAGAAATACAGTACAAGTGCCGGATGGCATTGTAGTGTTGCAGGGATTATAAGAGAAGAAGAAGCGATAGTACGCATATAGTCAGGTCGTTAAGAACGAGAGGCACTAGGAAGAAATACAGAGCAAGTGCCGGATGGCATTGCAGTGTTGCAGGCATCATAAGAGAAGGAGAGTTTGATAGTGTTCCCTTGTTGCCTGTGTTCTTAGTGATTTTTTGTTATGAAACGATAGGTAAATAGACGATAAAAAAATAGATCAATCACAGAAAACACGAGATTTAACATGCAAAACCCTCCTAAAGCAGGAGAGAAAAACTATGGGCGCCAGCCAGCAAATATCTTCAATATATCGGATGAGGTTACAAACGCCGAACGGCGGCTTACAAGAAGTATATATGAAGGTGAAAACCTAAAAGGATAATGCTTCGCTCCGGCCCAAGCCTCCGGCGATGGGCCTCTGCTTCGCTCCGTCCAAAGTTGGCCTTTATATAAGTGTAAATGAATTTGGATCACAACTCAACAAACTCCACGAGACAAAATTCCTTCTTATTGCATAAATCAAAAACTTCACCCTGAACACAACAAAGAAAAACACTTTCGGCACCAAATAGCCTCTTGGGCTAAACCATTATACCAACTAAGTTTGAGCAAATCTCAAACTTAGCAACAGAATCTGGCTTTGTCATCATATCAGTAGAATTATCATGAGTGCTTATCTTGCATATCTTTAGCTTACCTTGTGTGACTACATCACAAACATAATGATACTGGGTATCAATGTGCTTTGTCCTCTCATGGAACATCTTATCTTTAGTGAAGTATATGGCACTTTGACTGTCACAAAACAGGTTAATACAAGAATCAAATCCACAAAGCTCAGCAAACAATCCTTTCAGCCAAACTGATTCCTTACATGCTTGAGCAATAGCCATATATTTTGCTTCAGTGGTAGACTGTGCAACAACATGCTGCAATGTTGCTTTCTAACTTGTAGCACAACTACCAATAGTAAACACATAACCTATGAGTGATCTTCACTTATCCAAATCAGCAGCAGATGAATCTGAATCCACATAGATAACAAGTCCCTTATCAGTCCTGCCAAACTTCAAGCAAGCATCTGATGTGCCTCGAAGGTACCTAACTAAAAATCTACTGAACAACCTTCCAGTGTTCTTTGCCAAGATTAGCCATTTATCTACTAACCAAACTCATAGCATGAGATAAATCCGGACGGGAGCAAACCATGGCATACATCAAAGAACCAACAGCACTAGAATATGGAACCCTTGACATGTGTTCTACCTCCTCATCAGTACTAGCTCATTGTAAAGCTGATAATTTAAAATGAGGTGCAATAGGAGTACTAACAGGCTTTGCATCATGCATAGTGAAACACTGAAGAACCTTCTTAATATAACTTTGCTGACTAAGAAATAACGAACCAAAATTTCAGTCTCTAGTAATTTCCATACTTAGAATTTTCTTAGCACCACCAAGATCCTTCATATCAAACTCACTACTCAATAATTTCTTCAATGTACTGATCTCTTAACGCCATATGACAAATACTAGTAAGCATATCATCAACATATACTAGTAAGTATATAGGTGATCCATTAACAAATTTAATGTATACACAGCTATTATATTCAGACCTCTTAAAGCCATATAACAATATAAATGAATCAAACCTTTTATTCCATTAACAAGGAGACTGTTTCAAACCATATAAGGATCTTTTCAACTTGCAAACATAATCCTTCTTACCAGGTACTATGAACCCTTCTGACTGGTCCATGTATATCTCCTCCTCAAGCTCTCCATATAAAAATATTGTCTTCACATCTAATTGCTCAAGCTCAAGATCATGCATAGCAACAATACCGAAAAATGTACGAATTAAATTATGCCTTACAACGGAGAGAACACATTATTATAATCAACACCAGGAATCTGACTGAAACCTTTTGCTACTAACCTTGCATTAAACCTCGGAGGCTCCAGCCCAAGCCTCCGGCGATGGGCCTCCGCTTTTCTCCGTCCGAGGTTGGCCTTCATACGAGTGTAAATGAATTTAGATCACAACTCAATAATTTTTGGGTCATGCCCATATAAAATACTACTTGATGAATGAAGGGTCATTTCAAAATCAACCTTTCTCGGCTCTAATCTCTCCCTATTCTATTTTTCTTCTTTGTATTAATATAGAGTAGTAACATATTATAAAAGGTTCTTCTCTAGTTATATGTGTGCTGATGTAGTTCAAACATAGCACAACAACCGATTCGGCACTTTCCAGCCGACACTACGATTGAAGGCCAGGTTAGTTAAAAGTTGACACTGACTACAACAATTTCTGAATACTATACTTATATTTTGCATATATACTTTCCTGTTGACGATCCATTTCTCCCGCTATTATATATGAAGCTCATCTGCGCACTCATTTCATTCCATGTACTCTTACTAGGATGCTCTCTATTGATCGTTGAAAGCAATATAATCGTTGATCTTACTAGAAAAACGTCCTGCGTGTTGCCACGGGATGTGTGAAATTGAAGGATAATAAATAAATATAAAATATCCAAATATTATAAAATCAATTGTTTACTTATATATATTGCATTTGTTTTCTGGACTATCTCTATCTCTATAAGAAAAGAGAAACGTTCACTTTAAAATGAGAATGACGATTTGAGGATTTTAGAAAAAAAGAATAAATTGAACAAATGACTTTTTTCTAACTTCGATGATTTATTTATTAGAAACTAATTATTGAGCATCACTTCATATATGACTAAGTATTCAATTCTCTGTCATTTTGTAGGAGTTTAACATTGACAAAATTAATACTTCCTCCTATTTGTGTACAATCGACATAATATATAATACAATTAATACTTTGTTTTTCATTGTACGTTTTTCACTTGAGATATGGTGTTCCAACCTCTGCTCAAACCGATCGTGTTAAATTTAGGATCCTACTCTATAAAATCAGGTTTTCCAAGTTCTCCCTTAATATCACATCTTTTCTCAGATTTTTTTTTATACCGATACGATTTATCTGCTTAATTTCCTTCCATAAGGTTACTGTACATGATTAATATATGGTTCATCTAGAAGTTTTTTTTCCATAGCAATGAATGGGCGTAGTTAGTCTCATAATTGTGATAGATTTTATTGGGCTTTGTTTAGTTACTCTGGTCGTACAGATCTATATAGCAAAACCGGTTGATCATAAATTGTTATGTTTCAGTTATGAGATACAATTATTTGAAGCTCTTAAGATACAATTAAAATCCTAATTGCAATTTGTCAGAAATAACTGGGTTTCTTTGCAAACACGTGGGGCTAACCCAACCCAGGCAACAGTCGGTTGGATTGGTGGATGTGCTAATGTGGGTTCACTTTCTCGGTTTGGGACTTTTGATTGGGGGTCACCGAAATCTCGAAATTTTGGAAATTTCGGTCTAAAATTTCCGAAATTTTGAGCAAAATTTAGTTAAATTTGAATAAATATTATCCAAATTCATGAAAAATTTGAAAAATTAAAAAATTTCGGCCGAACTAATATCGTATCGGAGGGGACCGAAATGACCGAAATTTCGAAAATTTCAGTCCGAAATTTCCAACCCTACCGCACAACTGGATGGCCCACGTATGGTCTGTGCTGTGAGAAAAATGAAAGTACTTGAACAGTGTAACAGTAACAAACTGCAACGTGGATGCATGAGGGATAAGCAGCCGTACATCTCTAGGAATATAGATATACTACCCCGCGCGTTGCTGTGGGCATACAAATATATATGTGCAAAACTGTGAGGTAAGAGGAGAAGGTTCCTCTGATTCATATAGCTTCAAGCTTTCAAATATTTCCATCAAACTTTATACCGAATAACATCAGTTAACACCATCACTAAGTTTTTGGCCATATTTAATTTACCAAACTTTTAAGCGATTACATCATTTGCAACCACAAACTCTGTAGCACACATATGCCCGTTGCGCCATTTACAACAATATACTGCTGTCTTGAAGGCTCTGGTCAATCCACCCCAAACTATTTTGTTATCAATTGGCCAGCGGATAAAACAAACAAAGCTATTTTACGTACAAATTGGCCTTCTGAAAACCATCCATAGATGGAGCCTGAAAGTTTCTTAATCAAAGGCCACCACCGAAATGGAACTTATGTTACCTCCATAGTTCCATGTGCACTGGATTGTGATGGATTGAAAACTAATTATAAAATATTAACATAATCTTGACTATCTTGTAAGTGATATTTACATGTATAGTTTGAGTATGGAGTAGCCCATAGGCTAACATGTTGTTTAACTAAGCTGGCATCTTTTTTTAACTTTGAGGAAACCAAACTGACCTAATATGGTTAGATTGCGGCAATTTGTTTCTAGAAACGGTTGAAATCAATCTGCAAGAGTATAGGAGAATGTGCATATGCAGCTCTAGAAATCCTCTATTTCAAAATCAGCTATACAACTCCAATGGAATAGTTGTTAAACAAAGATTATTGTAAGCTTGCAACTAAATGAGTATATGTAAATTAGAATAATACTATAATCTAGAGGCAGACAAAGGGAACTATTAAGATTGCAGGAATCTAAATGATGAGCCAATAACAATGTTAAGTATCTTTACATAAAGTCAACTATGTATTATGACCGTTCAATGGATAAACAGCGGGGATGCACACATGCCATTCATCCTTTTTAAAAATTAGTAACTTATATATCCCAAAGAAATTAAACAATTGCTAAAATAATTTGAATATAATTTGTGCTCAAAATACAAACGGTGTTACTGCAGATAAATGTGTTATTTTCTTCAGAGAGAACTTGGAAGACTCATGGTAGTTTACTCCCTTGTTGATTAGATCTGCATTATTATAAATTTGTGACCTCTTTTCAAGAGAGATGAACAAACAACACAAACAGATGAGAACAGAAATGCAGTCCTATGGTTTAGTGCAACAGTGCAACCTGCGTAAAAGATAGGAAAGCCACACTTCCTGTTGGTAACATGCTAATTGCTAAGAGTCACAGGAAGGGAGTATCATTGATAAACATCGGTTACTGAAAGAAAATGCAGAAATGTTAGAGCAAATTTAATTATTACCTTGCTGGTTATTATGAATTGAAGGCTCATGGTTATGAACTGTTCATATGGCCTCATTTGCACATAACAGTAGTGTTTGTACTATGCAAAATGAAGAAATGCCATCAACTTATGTGAATTTGTACAAATGAAGGCCTTCATCATCCCACAAATGCTACAAAAGCATCTGCAAAGCCATGGATCCTACAAAAGCAAGGTGTTACGCATGCAGTTCAACAAATATATCACTCACTGGAAACCATGAACCTGACAGTCCATACATAGGCCTCGTAATGTAAGCAATCATGGCATCATACTACAGCAAGCGGTTACAATCAGGTTCAATGCCTTTTGTACTAAATATCAAGATTATCTATGAAATAGTAAATTATCTTCCAGCTTGAATGAGCACTTCATTCTTCTAATTGGTATCGCTATGAAGCCAATTAGGGACACTGAAGCAGGTAGCAAAAAACAATCATCTTATGTGCACAGAAGCAGTAACGGACAATTAGCACAATGATTTTTTTTATAAGTTCACCTTTCATGGTGCATTGTTTTGTGGCATCCTGCACTAACCATAGGTATATGGGCACATGGTACAATTACATAAGGGAAATAATCAGGCCAATATCCCTCTATACAAGCAATTTTGCTGTGTGTAAAAAATGAAAATATGTGTTGTAACCACATATGGCTGCTAAATGAATGGAATATCAGTAAGATATATAAAACTATCATGCATCCCTGAAACAATGCGAAATCATGTATTATGAACGAAAAAGGAAAACCTGATTGTTGTTTGCACTTTAGGCTGATTGTACGGGTAGCAAACATATCAAAAGAAATCTTTATGAAAATTAGTAGGAATCATACCTGTAGCAATGGAAGAGGAACATTGATATCCCGGACCAACATCTATCCTGCGCACCTGCATAGAGAGCAAAGCAAAGCAAATCTGAGCAGTAAAACAACTACTGCAGAAATGAACAGGTATGTAGATCAACAGTATGATGAAAAGAAAATGAACCTAACTAAGCACCAGTGCATACATAGTAGTAGAGGATGGCAGTACCAACTTACCTTACAGACTCACTTGAAAGCTCTCCATGAATCAATAACATGTGAAGGACCATATTAGTACCTGATCTCGTTTGACACCCTCACGCTGCATACATACATTATTCACAATTCAATATTTTTTTTGTTTGGCAGCAATTATCAGCATTCCTCTTAATTATTCAGTACAATCACTGACTCACTGTCACTAACGGACAGTAACTAAGATTGTTGGATGATTGATTTATATTACCTCACTACTGCATTGAAGCCTAGTGCAATCATCAAGGTCCAGAGCTGGTCATTGATGCTGCAAATTTTCATCAGAATCAAATAATCAGATCAACTATATCCAAACATAGATGCTTGAAGAAAATTAATTATATACAGAGCTGGTGAAATTCGTCAGAGAGAGATCCAATCGGGGCAGGTGATAGGGAAGAGGGATGATGGGAGGAGAGAGAGGATTGGATCCCATCAAGCCAAATCGCACGCCGCATCGATTCTGCCGTAGCTTCCAACCCAAATCGAAGGGCAGCCTCTGATCCGAACAAATCGACAAACGGAACGGGAGGACAGTGGATACGAACCTTCTTGCGCGTGGGTGTTGAGCTCCTTGGAGACGGGAGATATTGGTTGTGCCCCAGAAATCCCTCGACCTCGACGGAAACTCCTCCCGAATCCGGGGCAAACCAGACACCGGACCAGGATTCACCGTCTCCGCGAAGGTTCCAATAACGACTAACCTAAAATACATTTACAGTTCAACGTGGAGATGTACAGGCAAAGGTGCACATTCAATACCTAAGTGGTCTTGCTGCTTCCGGTTTCTACGACGAGGATGAGGGTCTGGTTGTCACGGAGGACGGCGAGGAAATCGTCCTTCTGCTGCCACACGGGGAGCGTGCGGCGCTTCTGGAGGATCTCGAGGTACCTCGCCGAGTAGGGCCTCCCCGTCCGAGAAAATTGACATTTTGCCATTGTCAAAACGGGGTTTCGCTCGAATGCCACTCCCAAAAGTGGTTTCGTTAAAATGCCATCCTCAAACAGGGACAACATGTTGTAATGCCATTTCATCCATTTCTTCTCAATTTAATGATTTTTGTAGTGTTTTTTCTTGCTGAGATGACTAAAATACCCTTTATCCTATCTCATCTCTCTCTCTTCTTCCTCTAGATGCACAGCATGGCTCGGCGGCGTGGCTGTGGACGGGGACGGGGACAACGCTGGCGTGGGTGGGGAAGGCTGCCCCCAAACCTAGCTGACGCCGCCGCCGCCATAGCCGCCACCGTCACCCCGGCCTCAAATGTAGCAGCCGCCTTGCCCTCAGATCTAGTCGTTGTCGCGCCACCGTCGTGTGTGTCATCGGGATGCTTCTTGCGTGAGGGAGGGATGGCGACGGTGGAGTATGTGGACATACAGGCGGTGGCGTCGGTGCAGCTGGGGATAGGGAAGGCGGCGACACGGCTGGGGATGGGGACAGGGATGGCGGCGGCGCCGACATGGTTAGGGCAAGTGGGGATGTTCTCCTACGTTGACGCGGATGGCGTCGCCGGCGCCACCGTCTGCCAGCCACGCCGCTGAGCCGAACAGCCTTCTCCACCCACACCGGCATCATCTCCGTCCCCAGCTGCGCCGGCGCCGGGGATCCATCTCCTCCACACAAGTCAACTAAATGGTCACAAGGGCAATTTTGTCACACCACGGTGGAAATCATTTGCAAATCAGCTAATTTGGTCGAAATGGCAAAGTAGCAATGTGGCGTCGTCCGAAAATGGCATTATAACGAAGCCACAATCCGGAGTGGAATTCTGGCGAAACCCCAACCTGACGATGGCTAAATGTCAATTTTCTCTCCCCGTCCACCGATTGATGGACGGGTTGGCCGCGGCGGCGGCGGTGTCGTTGGTGGTGCCGGCGTGGCCGAGGTTGGCGGAGATGGAGGTCTCGTCGACCACGTCGAAGAGGCTCACCTTGCGCTTCTGCTCCGTCCCCATCGCGGCTACGGTGGCGGCGAAGCGGGAGTCGGGTCGGTTCACGTGGTAAGGAGGAGACGGGTGGGGGAGGCAAAACCCTAGCTCGGTTCCCCTCTCGCCCAAATGCAGCGATGCGTGGGAGAATTGCGCAGCCGTGCGGATGGGATCCATCGATTTGTTCGGTGGGGGGCCAGCGAAGCAACGCGTACGAAAGAGGAAGGAAGCTTCGTGGCTTCGCCCGCCACATGGAGACGACGGACGGACGGATCGAACCGAGAGGAGCACATCGAGCGGTGCAGAAGCGAACAAGAACTGTTGCCCTGTAGCAACCCAAGACGCACTGAGATTCATCGGCGGACTGGTTACAAAAACTAAGGATTTGATATGATATAGGTAGATTTGATCGAAGGGTTCAAATCTACTTCTACTATCACCCAAGTTAGCGGTATTAGAAACACGAAGAGGTATTATTGTCCAAAAGAAAGGTGTGGCAGGGTATAATTATCATTTAGTAGTGACTATATTTTTTTTCTCTTTTTTGGATTTTTTTAATGAAATATGAGTGATACTAGCATAATGGATTACCAGATATCGATCTATACAAGAAAAATAACATAAATGATAAAGTTATCTCTACTCACTATATTAGTATATTACTAATCTGCCCTTAATAACAAATAATTCAAATCATTTCTACTTTTAGTAGTAACCAATAAAGATCACCAGAACATCACTTGGTTGATAGAACAAATACATTGACGCCCACGTCCTACTCCTATCCCAGTTCTACAAGCTTTAATTGTTGTCTACATATCCTTCTGCATCCGCGTATGATCATAGGTGTGGTTAAAACATACTCCGTACGAAGTGGTCTGCAACTCTTATGATCAATTACGTTAGCTTAGCTGAGCACATTAAGATTGAGCGGTATCAGGAAATTGAAATGTTCCATGTTGTTGCAAGCTCGAGGCGGGATCAGCTTGAAACGATTGTTGCTAGAGCTTGGAAGAGTAGGAGAGTGGGACTCCAGCTGGCCTCCATTATTGGCTCTTAGTTAGCCAAAGACATTATTGCAAAACGTTGTCTAGTTAATATTTGGCATTTTACACCAGCGTCTCTTTGAAACAAAACAAATTACCCATGTTAAATTAGTGCCATGTTTCTTCAGTTATGTTAATTACATGTCATTTGTTTTGTTACAAAGAAAAACCAATACATCTTTTGCTGTCTACGCTACTAGAAAAAGCATTTTCGCAAATGTGTGCTTTTTTTCAGACGGATATGACCCTCGGAGCTAAATGGCCGCCTACGAAAATGTAAACCGGGATAGAGCTCGCCGTCTGCATGTGAAAATCATTTTTTCAGTTGGACCACTTAAGAGGTCCGCTTGCGAAAAATAAAGGTATTTTCGCAGGCGGACCTCATGCGAAAATCATTTTTTCAGTTGGACCACTTAAGATGTCCGCCTGTGAAAATACCTTAAGTGGTCCGCCTGAAGAAAAATAACTTCTGCTAGCGAAACCTTATGTGGTCCGCTTACAAAAAAAAAATCATGCCACTAAAAAAATATCTAGTCTCATCCTTATCTTCTCCATCGTTCTTATCCTCTCCACCACTCATTTCCCTCCCCCTCCTATCTCTTTGTCTCTCTCCACCAGCAGAAAGCCGCGGGTGCCCACCTAACCTCCTCCGCCGCGGGCATCCCCTCCTCGCCGCCTCCGCCAACAGCCGCGAGGCGAGACGACGATGACGCCGCCTATGGATCCCCCGCCGGCTCGCCCCGGGCGCTCGGATCTGCCGCCGGCTGGTCTCCGGGTGAGAAGGCGCGGCTCGGCTCCTACCTCTCCCAGCGACGCGCGATGACGACGACGGCACCGACGCGCCGACGACGACAACACCGCCTGTGTGTGTGGGGGTGGGGGGACGGAGGAGGAGAGGCGGCGGCTCGACTCTCCCCTCTCCCGGCGACACGCAACGACGACGACGACGCCGCCACCGACGCTTCTGGGGGAGGGGGGACGGAGGAGGAGAAGCGGCAGCTCGGCTCCCCCTTCTCCTGGCGACGCGCAATGACGATGACAACGCTGCCTGTGGGGAAGCCAGTGGACGGAGGAGGAGAGGCGGCGACGACTGTCTCGAACGGTGCCGACGCGACGACGACGATGCCGCCGGTTGTGGGGGAGACCGGCGGATGGAGGAGGAGAGCCATCGGTGGCACCCCTTTTTTTATACGCTGTAATGTTTTTCGCAGGCGGGTGAATCTACCGCCTGCGAAGATGGAGGTGTCGCTAGCGAAAATAATTTTTGCAAGCCTTTGCGTATAGGCGGTCCTTTCCCCCACCTGGAAAAACTATTTTTGGCGCCTGCAAAAACCTTTTTTTCTAGTAGTGCTATTCAATTCAAACGAAAATGCATGGACGAGTACAAGCTGTATTGGGTGATTTCAATCTATCGCAATTTTCTCTTTCTTCGTCCACTCTGATACTGGCCACATAGATATATCTTTTAACTGGTGCAAATACAATCCGTGCAGAGAACATGTGGTTTGACAGATGAAACTGTTAACAAACTAAAAATATTGATGAGAACCTATTTGGTTCAAGGGGCAGTGAGGGCAATCTTGTTGTAAATAGTTGATATTTTCAATCTCCCGTTTCACTGATTTTGATTCATTTGATAACCTTATTAGTTTGTGGACTTGTGGATTATGTTATTCGAGTGTGCTGAAAATAATGTGTAGGGAGAGTAGTAAATTGTGAATCTCGAAAATTTAATATTTGAAAGATAAATTGGGTATGAAAGATGAGAGTCATAAACAAGATGAGATTGAGTGAAGATGGGAAATTGTGGTGGCATCATCAAACCAGGAATGATTAACAACAAAGATACTACAAACTAAGATTTGCCTTCTTCAATGTGAGAGGATCATGTATGGCTTGTTTTACCTATAAATCTGCTAGGTGGAGTGACAGAAAAAAAAAACTCATTTGCTTATGTTCATCTTGTTAAGAGTATTTTGTGTTCAGTGGTATATTGGTAATTTCCCATTCCTTTTGTCCTCATATGTGTGTCCTTTGGCTAACTCAATAGTAACAGTCCATTCCGCAAATTCCTCCAAATTATGGCACATCTTATCAGTTCTAAGTGTTCATCACGAGAGCCGCATATTCAAGACTGGTTTTGATATGGAAGGCATCATGACTATGCACTACCCATCCTTTTCAAGTTCGGTACATGCCTAGTCTGCGGTGCCAGCATCAGCTAAATCAATATCCATGGTGCCAACACATGGAAAGCCTGCAGTTGTAGGAGCATACCCTGGCAGCGGCTGTCATTGATTGTGCTCCTGCCTCACCGGAGCTAAGCTATTAGTGTCTAGCTGTAAAAGGACCGCATAGTATCAGGGGAGAGACCTCCCATGGGTCCATTAGATTTGGGATTCCTATTACCAAAAACTAAGGTTTCCCATAAGATTTTTAATAAGGGCTCTTTTTGTTGAGAGATATCATTAATATGTCTGACCTATATCAAGGTATTGTAAAATGTGATGTTTATTCTAGAACTACAGCAATATTTTGGGATATGATGGAATGTAGGTATCAGAAGTGCCTCTCTACCGAACTTGTACCAACATGCTATTAACAAGTCATAGTCAATTGCAATAATGTGTTCTAGGCTACTTGAGAACTCTTCCAACCTACCTCTGAGTCTCTTTGACTCAGGAAACTTCAGGATGAATTAAGCTCATTGACACTGTCAAACAAAAAAGAGATTCCTGGAGTTTTATTTGGAACTATAGAGCTTACACCTCCATATGTTTTTATATGCTCAACTTTGTAGCCTTGTAGCCTCCTAAACCTTTTACTTGGCTTTGGAAGAATAAGTGTGTGATGAAGATCAAAGTCTTTATTTGGCTACTTTTTTTGAACAGTCTAAACACAAGGGACATACTCGATAGGAAGAATTGTGCCCCCCCCCTCCATGGGTCCATTTGATTTGGGATTCCTATTACCAAAAACTAAGGTTTTGCATATGATTTTTAATAAGGGCTCTTTTTGGTTGAGAGGTATCATTAATCCATCTGACCTATATCAACATGCTGAAAAATGTGATGTTTATTCTGGAACTACAGCAATATTTTGGGATATGATGGAATGGAGATATCAGAAGTGCCTCTCTACCGAATTTGTACCAACATGCTATTAACAAGGCATAATCAATTGCAATAATGTGTTCTAGCCCACGTGAGAACTCTTCTAACCTACCTCTGAGTCTGTTGGATTCAGGAAACTTCAGGATAAAATAAGCTCATTATTGACACTGTCAAATAAAAAAGAGATTCCTGGACTTTTATTTGGAACTATAGAGCTTACGCTTCCAAATGTTTTTATATGCTCAACTTTGTAGCCTTGTAGCCTCCTAAACCTTTTACTTGGCTTTGGAAAAATAAGTGTGTGATAGGAAGAATTGTGCCCCCCCCCCCCCTAAAAGCAGACCTTACCTGTGTACTGTGCTCTTCACAACATAGAGAAACCTATTAGCATCTTTTTTTCCTTTGCCCTTTTTGCAAAAGATGTTTTTGGACAAACTTGGGGATCTCTTGGAAAACTTCATTGGACCTTTTTCAAATGGTTGTCCTGGCAAGGCTTCGGTTCAGGCAAAGAAGTTTCATGAAACTTTTTACCATTGCTTCCTAGTATATCTTGAAGCAGAGAAACGGAAAAATCTTATCTCTGGTGGTTTGCTTTTCGAAATGAGGTTCTTCTACATATGTGTAGAATGAATGGTCCTCTCAAGCAAATAGTTGCTGCTCAGTTATAACTGCTATAATTTTTAATATGTTTTTTCTTTTCTTTTGTGTTGTAAATAACTTTTTTTCATTCTATAAAATCATAATCTTGGGCAAATGCCTGGTAGTTTTCTCCCTAAAGAAAACAAAACTGCATATTTGATTCATTGTTTGCCCAATTCAGGGTGTTTATACACAAATACACCGATGCGTGCATCTATTCTTCCCCAAACCTTCAACCTCAGTGTCGTTCTTCCGTGCGTATTGTTCGTACCCTCTAAAAGAACTACAGATATATGTGCATCATTCCTTCCACCAAAGTATTTCCATAAGTTTTTCTCTTTCTAGCTTCTTCACCTTGCGTCTTGGAAAAAACTCACAGAATCATTGCCACACCATGCTTGTAATCCTGATTTCTTGATCAATCTAGAAGGATAGAAATTTGGATATTCCGCAGGTATGCAAAGGCGCTTGTGAAACAGGGACAAACTATCTAGCTGAATTTCCCACACAAGTGGAGCTAAATTTCAAAAATAACATTGAATTTTATATACATATATTTTTTTCTTGAACGATCAACACCAGACAGTACGATGATTCACTGAATAGAGTAGGAAAAAATTACAAGGTTAAAGCCCTGGAAGACACTAGCCAGTAAAGAAGAAAAAAAACCCACCACCACGCACCGACGCACCAGCACACAACCAAGCAGAAGGCTTAGCACTAGACCAGCTGCCGCTAAACCAACAAGGAAACCACAGCCAACACTTATTTACTGTTATGATGATAATCTTAATTGCATATCAAGACAAATATGTTATGTTATAACTACACTAACTACAAAATCATGTCCCACAAACATATTTATAAATATGACATAAAAAATGCATGATATAAAGGCTAGTTTAATAACCGTTAGATTTAGAAGAGAACAAAAATGAAATAAACCTTAGCCATCTAACGAAAAAAAGAGTGAAAGCAGTAAAAAAACTGTACAATGTAACCAGCGAGTTCCTGATGATTTCAGACTCCTTCCGCTCCGGACTCCTCTTTCCAAAAATGGAGAGGCGATGGTAACGTGATGAGAAATAACGGAGAGGTGTAAATGTGATTGCCTATTTGCATGTTAGTCCCATGATAAATTTTAATTTACAAACTTGCCCGAAGCAAGCATTAGTTACAAGGAATATTTTGTAAAAATAGTCAACTCATTTAACTTTTATCACATATAAATTTACAGCCGACACCTTTAATTAGTACAACTATTTATAACAAAATATCATTTTGTTAAATTTGTATATAAATAGCTTAAAGAATTATGTAGCAAATAACAAAACTCTTATAATCGTAATTTGCAATGACTTAGGTAAAAAAAATGCAATAACATGTGCATAGTTATTATTTTCTAATGACAACATGCATATAATATAACAAATTCAGTAAGACCAGGTAGAAAATTTCTATGAAGACATAGATATAGTGAAATTCTATATTTTTTGTCTTTCCAGTAAATTTCACAAGTTTAACATTACCAGAGTAAATAATTTATTATCACCATGAATATTTATTCATCATAGAAAAAATAAATCTATTTGTGTTGCATCTTGACTTCTTGCAAAATATGTTCGCTAAACACCTATTCAAGTGTGTAAAATTAAATTAAATTTGCTAAAATTGAAGAATAAATGAAATATATAAGAAGATAGGGGTCATGAAATAGTGAAAATGGTGCATATAAAGATTGGTAAAATTATGCTGTTATGTTGTAACTACACTAACTTAACCGTAGCCACTGTACTTATATCATTTTGTTAAGCTGAAAGAAGAGCAGGCACTACTGGAGAAGTGATCTTTGCCGGGTAGAGTAAAAACCACAATTGTCCAGGTTCACCAAAAAACCGGGACTAAAAACAATTTTTAGTCCCGGTTTATAAGTTTAACGGGAAAATTTGATCTTTAGTCTCGGTTGGTAACACCAAGATCATCTTCAACGTCATTATCTTCAACATCCCCTTCAACCTCGCACGTTGTATTTCCTTCAAATCCACCGTACTGAGCCCAATCCGGAATGTTCTCGTCTTCTACTTCATCTTGAACATAATGGTGTTACCAACCGGGACTAAAGATGCTTATTTTTGTCCCGGTTATTTCAACCGGGACTAAAGATGGGTATCTTTAGTCCCGGATTCACCGTCCCGGTTGCATAACCGGGACAACAGGGGATTCCCAACCGGCGTTAAAGATGGGTTCCCCAGCAGTGAGGCATAATATCATATTGCAAGCATATTTACAGTATTACTACAAATGGCACATTCAGAAATATTTATAATCTTAGTTGCGAATCAAGATAAATCTGTTATGTTGTAACTACACTAACTACATAGTATGTGCCACAAACACTTATTTAAGCTAATAAAAAAATGTTAACATATTTAATACATAGGATCGTGGGCTGTGATAGATTATGCTGCCATGTTGAGGCCGCAGAAGAATTCCTGCTTGGAGTGGCAGCCAAACTCCAACTATGTGGTGACTTCGCATCAAGTGCCAATATTCTTTTCTGATAGTTTTACATATGACGAAACAGAGCGAAAAGATCTTGTCCAATTTTCCTCTGAACTGGGTATATTAAGACAGAGTCCAAAATTTTAGTGACTTTTTTTTAACATCCAACCGTTGCATTTTTTGAGATATTATCAAAGGCAGCATAGTTTAGGGTTATCTTCGCGAATGGAAAATGTCTATGATGATCCGGGAATACAATAAATCTATACAATTCATCTCTGCTTAATGTAGTTAATAGCAATTTCCTGCATTGTTATTGAGCCATGTCACCTGACCCGTTGGATCTGATCGACTTGCATGTCCGTGACTGAGTTATGCGAACAATGAACAGGATTAAAGGGCATATTGATGGCATATCTATTAACATCACAGGGAATCCATAATGTGTCTATGGCTTGCACCCCACATATAAGTAATCAACAAACAATTTTCTAATCTACTAGAAAATCGGCGTGCCGGTTGGCACGCCCACTATTTTATAACCTGCTTGTTTTGTAGAATTGATTTATTATAGTTTTGGTTCTTTTGGATTCTTGGTGAGTAAAATTGTTATTGCGTTTATGAACTTGTGCTAGCTAGATAGTTAAATATTGAATAAATCGATGAAAATGGTATTAGAATGGAAGTGGTAGATATTGGCCGTAATGGGTTAAATCATGGATAGTCAGCGTCTTCCTTCCACGCAGCTACTGATAAAGGGAGGTGGTGATGAATGTGAAGGGGATTATATATCATGTGTTGCATCTTTCTTTTTTCATTCATGTGAGTCACTGTTGATATATTAAATGAGTTACATGGAAGTATGGAACCTCTCTGTTTGTGGTGAAACACAAACCTTTTCCATCTTTATAGGGGTACCCGTTCACCTACCATACTTGGGTATGTAACTCAGATGTCATAGTGTGACACCACCGGCTATATGCAAGATATTGACATGTTACGGCGAGGCCACGCTGTAGCTCCTGAGCTAGGCTGATCTTAATGGTGCTTGGTGGGTTGAAAACTTACTTGTCATTTTTTTAGTTATTCAAATCTATAAATTGGTTTTGTTATTTCGTTGTTCTTTTTTATTCTTCGGATCCTTGAACCACAATCCATGTTTTTTCATTATCTCAGTGAGAGCTCATAGATGTTTTATTTGAACGAATAAAAATGTGTGGGAAATAGTATTAGCTATTTTTCTGTAATAGCTAATTGTTTTTTTCGTATTTGAAGAAAAAATCAATTGAATTAGATTCATTATTATGGAAAAACTAGCCTTAGTAGTGGTGGAGGATTTTTGCGGAAATGACTTTCAGCTACCACTTTTTTCATTGAATGATCAATTTGTAATACAAAATTTTCATAGTAATTCAACATAAATTACTATAAATCCAGAATTGGCACGCTTGCTACTTTAAAGCATGTGCAATTTCTTAAGTTACTACTAGAAAACTTGGCGCGGCGTTGCCGCGCCCTTAAATGGATTAGTTCTTTGCAAAATAGTCTTAAACCAGAAAATTATATGTATACACGGTTGAACGGGTGATTCATTTCGTTTTGAAAATACTCACCAATATCAGGTGTTCTTTAAAATGTTCCAAAATGGTAAGTACACTGCCAAAATGGTAAGTACACTTCCATTTTAAAAAGCTGATAACAAAGGACAACAAATATAAATACATAAACGAACATTCAGGCACAAAGAAGAATCACATCGTTTTCATAGAAGTTGTCTATCAACATATCCTGCCATACCAACTCGGTGAAACCATCCTCATTATCATCCATTGGATCCATCTCAGCAATCCTGGCGTCCATTTTGGGATCAAAATAAATCTAACACGTCATATTGACATAGCAATCGTATGCATTGATAAAGATTTCAGGGTTGATGCTATGTTCCCATCGAACCATTTCATTACAGCATCCGTGATACAGCTCATTGTGCGGATGCACAATCTTTATCCCTTGATACTTACAGTGAATGAACGAATTTCCCTAGAAAAAAAGATAAGTAAAGTAGTTATAAGTTAACTTGATATATTGTTATGTTCACAGAGAAAGCAAGAGGAAAAATAAAAGAGTAAAACGGTAGGACTATATATACCATTACACTCATAGTGAAATGAAAGAGTCAGACTTGATGCCCAATCCCTATGATACTTGATTTTGCATACCTAATGTTTTTTGTTTGTCAGATATCAGGATAATTGTGTCAGATACTCACTTTCCTGATACTGAAGTGTTTTTTTATAAGTTTTTAGTTAAACTGAAAGATGAATATATCTTTTTTGGTTTATGTGGTAACCCTCTGATCTGTGATACTAAAGTTACATACATGCGAGTGTGTATATGCTGTTCGAGAAAAAAAAGAATATTTATATGTGTAACCTGGTCGCAGAGCAGTGTAAAGTTAAGCTTTCACTCTTTTTAAGCAGTGCAGAGGAGGAGGAAGAAGAATTTGATTTTGTCCATATTTTTTCCCGTTTACAAATATAAATTGTTTCACTTCACAATCATTTGATATACTTGAGCTCTAACTTTTATCATGTGGATAAGAAACATGTTACTGTAATATTTTTTAGGGGAACCACAAAAACAGGACAATCTCAGATTCTTTGCATATGAGCTCAATGTTCTCACTATGTGAATAAGCACAGTTACTGCTAGCCCATATATGACAAATAGATTCAAAGCTGCTCAGCCAAAAGCAAGTTGCCTATAGCTAACAAAACATTGCACTGATAATAAAAGTGCATAGCTGCTAGAATAACAACATTCGCATGGTTTCTGTCTATGTATACACTTCTAATTTTTTTTTTCTGCATACTAAAATTATTTCTCACAATAATTATGTCATCTTAACGTAATAAAAAAGTATAGCATGTAACTAACGCTCATGAGAAAAAAAAATAATGGTTCTACTATATATGTGTGCTACTACTCTAACAATTATTTACTCACCATGGTCGCACAACTTCAGCTTGTAGAGCTTTCCCACGTCTGCACAACAACTAAACAACGACGAATTGAACCTCCACACCAACAAATGCAGAAACACATAGATAGATTGATAGAGAGAGGAGATAGAAAGAGAGAGATACCGGTGGTGAGGGCCTTGATGATGCCAGCGCAGCGGCGACAGAAGTCCTGGAAGACGTGCTCGGGCGAGCGCGCGTCGTGGAAGATTGTGACCGAGCCATAGTCATCGTCCTTCTTCATCGACAAGGACTCGCCGGAACTCCCAGAAGAGACGAAGCGCGGGTCTCCGCGCGACTAGGGTTTGGTCCCCAGCGGAAGTCGGCGGCTGCGGTGGTGGAAGGGAGCGCAGCCGCCGCTCGAGGAGAAATACGGCAGCGGCGGCGTAGCTCGTCGCCACCACTGAGATCCTCGCCCCATCTAGCGACGAGGAGTGGGAGATGAGAGAGTAGGAGGATGTGCGGCAGTGTTGCGGTGGATGGGGATTGAGCGTTTTGTTTCTAAGATGACCCTCAAACTTTGCATATTACAACTAGGTCCACCGCAGCGATCTCTAACCGTTTATCCGTGATCCGACGGCTTTGGGAGAGGGACGAAAGCTGGAATCGCACGGAGCCACGTGGAGTGGCTATTTGCATGCGAATCCGCATAGAATTCGATATTAGAGATAGAATGTAAGGTTTTTAGAGGATTAAGAAATTCCCAACCTCACAGTATAGGCTTGTTCTTTTTTTTTTGTTGAAAGTATTGGCAAGCTGCCAATTTTCATTGAACTGAGAAGGAGTAAACTATAAAAGCGAATTGGAAAAGGAGCTCATGACCTTCGGTCCAAGCTAACTAAAGGAGTTCATGGTAGAATTAATTAGCAGTAAACTGATGTAATTTATCATTACATTCTACTTTGATATGTTTTTCATCTTTATTTTATTTTATCTCCTTGATTTTTTTTTGAACTTTCTCTCTCGTTTGATCTTTCCCCATGCAAGAGGAGCAGGCAGCTCTTTTGCTTGTTTATATTTTTTTCAGCCTAGGTGCTGGTCAGGCCGGCGTGGCCCAGCTCACAAGTATGCGCGGCCTAGCTGGCGTCAACTGAGTGCGATTGATTTGAGCGTCTAGAAGCGACACGTGTTGAAAAAATAATGGAACAAGTGGACCAATCAACTGGCAGGACAACCTGTCAGCTTTAGAATATTAGATTGATCTATTCCTCCGTGTGTAAGCGTGTTCTTGAATGTTTATATCTAGTCTGTTCTTGTGCTAACTTTTCATGCTCAAACTTGATCGTGTGCTCTTTCTGAAGAGAAATCTTGGGAAGAGGTAAGGGGGAAGGGGGCGGAGCGAACACTAAGACAGTAAGTATCATCTATCTCTCTCTCTCTCTGCATTATGCTCTGTTTAAAAGAGTACGGAGTCATGTAGAATGGAATTTGAGTCAAATCAACTATTTGTTACTTTGATTATGTGCACGGTATACATTGTGATTCTAATTCATGTAATCTAGACTTATTCAACTTGCAGCTTGAGAGTTATATATATGTGAACTGACAGAAAATTGGAACATCATTATACTTTGGCCAGGATGTTTTGGTATCTTTGTTCTTAGCGTACAGACTAATTGATAGAGTTGTTATTCGTTCATGCTCAGTGAAATGCATAAAATTTATTGAGTTGAGTTTTCTTCTCAGGTTGTCATGGAGTACAACATATCTAACTTTGCTCAAGTCATCCCATGTTTATTACAGCATCATATAGTATAATAAAGCACATGTATCATTAGATGTTTGAGGTATTTCAGCAATGATTTGATCTTAATTTCTCTTCCCTGATCTAACCACAACTTTCTGTAAAATCCTGCATCAACGTGCGTAGTACCTTCCAGTATCTCCAATGACCATGTCCATTATAGTGAATTCACCTACTCACTTATCATAATAAATAACAGCTATTGATGTAATCATGCGATAAAATATTTCTTTCAGGAAAACTTGACTAGGTTTGGAAACAGTAATCTCTCAATTGCCTCTAGGGCATATGATGAGACAATTGTTCTTTTTCATTAGTGTTCAACACAAATTTCCATTTGGAAAGAAATAAATTGTATTCAATGATGGTGTACGGGTGACCAAATTATAGGATTGACAAATCCACTAGTACATTTATATCTGGTTCAAACAAAATCAAACCAACATGATAAGATCATAAGCTGGATCTAATGTTTTCATGGAGCTTGCATAGACAATTCTCTTGGCCTATATCCATTGCAACACAAGGAACACTGAATTCTTTATTCTGAAGCAACGCATACCGTTTCTCTGCAAGCTCCTCAACAAATATGCCAAGCATTTCAAAGCTCACATGTGGCATTACCACAACATGAGCTACATTTCCTGCACATGCAAGCTGCCACTTTTGCATGAACATCTCATCTTTGGGCTTCTCGAATATAACTATGATACTTTTTGAGTTCATAAATGCACTAATACCTACATTTCTGAGACGAACTGTAAGGTAACATGCATTTCTTAAGCATGCTTCAATTTCTCTCTGAATACCCTCGTATCCCATACTTTTCAGTTTATACCATAGGAAGATTGGGGATTGACCGTTTCGGCTTCCAGATATGGTGACATCATTTGAAGCAATGTACTCAATATTTGTGGACTTTAAGACATCAATGTCTTTCAACCTATTAATTACCACACCACATGGTGTTGGGCAGCCCAATAACTTATGGCCTGAGACGCTGATGCTTCCTATTGGCTTTATGAATGTTACCTTTGGAGCCTATATATGAAACATAACATTTCAGATTCAAAAATATAAATTGTTTTCTCCTATGAACTTAAAAGGTCATGTAACATAGGTAACACATACATACTTTATGATACGATATTGTAAAATTTTGAAATAAATTTATTATCGTACTGAACATGTTCACCATATGTTAAAGACAAATTTCATTCTTATAATTGAACTTGTCTACAGATTGAACCTACCTGTTTGATAAAGGGCAGCATGAGACCAGCTAGAGCACCGTCACAGTGGATATAAAATCTATCTCGAAATCCACAGTTTTCAAGCGTGCTTATAATCTCATCAAGGTCATCAATTGCCCCTTTGACGGTAGTACCTACAACAGTGTACAGCAAAGAAGATATCATCAATTTTGAAGTGCCCAGGAAAAAACAATAATAAAACAGTGAACCGTTTATAAACTATTCATGAGTTCCCTTGAACTGCTAACCAATATTGACATTCACAATTGCAGGTCTCCTAGCGTTTTCGAGTAGTTTAGTTCTGAAATGATCATATCTCATCTCTCCTGAAAAGGAGGTGTCAATCTTGATGCACTGGACTCTATACATTTTTGCGGCCTTGAAGATAGAGTAATGTGAGTCCTGTGATGCATAGATTATTCCTTCAGGATACAGCTCTCTCCTGTACAAGTTTATCAAGAAATTTTAATGAGCACAAAAACTCTAATAATTTAAATCCATGGTATTGATGGTCAGATCATTATTTTGTTGATTTATGGTTAGATATGTGCACATTTGTGTATATAGGAGAATTTTTTGATGGTTTGATATTGCCGAGCAACATTCTATGTGTGGTTTTTAGTTGCCATGCTTATTAGTTTATATATATCGAAAGAACTTTTAAAAATAGCATTAATTATAATTCAAGTAGTGAAGTAAGAAAAAGATCCATAGGGTTTTAGAGGTCTATAATGCTACTTTAGATGTGTACGTTCATTCCATTTAAGAATGAAAGAATGTAAAACAAAATGTACATAAAAGATGAAACCATCACACATGGAGAAGAAAATATAAGTATTTATTACCCAACTAAGAGCCCATCATAGTTCCCTTCACTTCCACCATTTGTGACATATCCCCAATACTGGTCCTTGGGGATCTCCCACAAATGTGCAAACCAATCCAACACTGCATATTCGAACTGTCTGGAGTGGATACCATAGTTGCTCTCAACAAAAGGATCTCCAATATTGTTAATGTGGAAGTGTTGAAATTGTGCGAGAGGGCCAACATCCAATTTTTGGCTAAGTGGATGACCTGAAATCGCAGAGGAAAAAAGATAATGGTTTAGCAGTCTTATCAAAGTACTTTTTATAGTTGTTTTTAACTAAATGAGCTAGAAAATAAAAAAGGTATCACTCTAAGTAACACCTCAAACATTGTTATCTGTGAACATTTGAGATAGATGTGCATGCACAATTTAATTTGCTTGGTGCGACTAATCATGAGGTTGCACAAGCACGCCTATTTGACGCACAAAATCTAATAAGTATACAAACCAACGTGTTAAAAATACAGGAGCTCATAGCACATAGTGTACTCAACATGCACACACAATTTCGTCCCATGTGCACACTTATATATTTTTTAACTAACAGTCGCCTCGACAAACGTACAAAATATATCTACGTAATTGCTAAACAAAAATAACCAACAGGCACTCAGAAGAATGAAAAATGTAGCATTTTCAAACTAAATCACAGCTATGTATTCTGCATACATCGAGATAGCTAAACAGGTAGAAGACACGGAAGTAACTTACCAAGATGATGAGCTGACCTCTCCTGGAGGTGTTGCCTGAAATGTCCTAAGAGGTTGTCAATACCGTGCTGCCTCTTCAAGACTGCCTGAGCATCTTCTGGAGGCTCATCTATCACATATCTCTCGACAACATTTGTCAGGTAAAATTGGACTGAATCAAGCTGCTCATCTACCTGTAGGCAGCTAATCTTTGATGCTTCCATCAGAGATATATAACACAGTAACTGCAGAGAAGTTTGCAGCTAAACGGTTCGCAGTGTGAACGAAATGATATAAGCATAAGCTAGCAGCATGATTATATTAGAGGGAAGAGATAGGGGCAATATATATAGTGGAGCTGTGATTAGAGGACACCAACGTAATAAGTGGTCAAGTGTTTTTTAATGAAATAGGATGAAGTAATCCTGCAATATTCCATTAATGGAAACAGCCGGACATATCGATCACTACTCACTAGCATCCGATGTATAGCAGCATGCATGTGAGCACTACCTAACCAGTGTTCAGCCCAGAGACATGAATACACAGGAAAAAACATTGTTAATTGAGTTGTGATCAGTTTCTATTACAGATGTTTCAGCCTACCTACTACCACTGTGATGACGCATGCAAAGACATCAGGTTGCAGCCAAAAGACAACATGTAAAGCCACATGCATTCTAATTAATCCCTGGGTTAACCTTTTTATCTGAAACAAATAATGAAATAGATGTAGAAGGGTTGGTACCCAAAATTTGTTGGACTTGTGCCTACTTGGAGATGGGCCAATTACATTAGGATTAAAACTATCAAAATGTCATGCCATATGTGTAAATATATAAATATCATTCCGAGACATTTGGAAATTAAAGAAGTGTGTAGCTGTTTAACTTATGTACTCCTTCCGTTCCAAAATATTAGGGATTTCTATAAGTGTCCCATCTGTCCAAAATCCCTTATATTTTGGGACGAAGGGAATACATAATATTATTCTTTTTACCAAATCATGTAATGTTATATTCCGCGAGCAAGTTGTGTTGTGTTCCTAAAAAGCATTTCACATGTATTGATACAGATTATCACTTTATAAATTCAATTAACGACCACATATAAAGTGACTATGGAAAAAGGGAAATACATAAAATTATCATGTAAAAGCAATGCATGTACAATAAGTTCTCATAGGGAGCTTTTTGAAAACTAAATGTAATGACATGATATTTTTGTTGGTTGTGCAATGGTATGAATCGTATAGAGAGGTCCAAATATGTGATGGAAATGTTGATGGCACAAATTATATAGGCCGTCAAACAAGGAAGAATAGAGACAATAATGGGATAACAGAACATAACACTACCACACACCCCTTATTCATAACGGGTGGCAACACACGTCTCACTACTAGAGATTGTGAAGCTACCGTGTGCCAAAAACACTTGGCAACACCACGAAAACTCTTGGTAAAAGAAGTTGCTGACAGCAAACTCTCTGGAAGACGCTCTCGGTGGCCTCACACTTAACGGTGAGATTTTCCCCATGCGACAACGCTTGTACAGTCGGGATGATGTACAAAATTACCGTGTGATGAATAAGAACACTCAGTTACAATCTGTTTAACAACACAAACCGTGTACAAGATAGGACGGAAGCAACGGAACGGAGTATTACCAAGAGGTACAAAGACAAATAATCTGGAAACAATGGGTCCCATGGTTATCGAGACTACCGGCTTGGAATACGGTAATTTTCGATGTTCCCGAGTTTTTCTTTGGAAACACACGGAATGTTCAAAATCTTACCGAGAGTTGGCAAAACCTCCTGGTAACTTCATGGTCTCTGGGACTGTCTGTGATGGAAAAGTACTAAAATTATCAATTATGTACCTTCGTAACAGAAGAGAGATAACATCTTCATAATAATGTTGATAATAGGATATTTATATGGGGTAAATCTGTTCATAGCTCCGAGCAGATATATAAGTGTTGGCAACTTTTTTGACAAGTTGACAAGCACGATCGTAGCACCTTAAGCCTTGCGGTGATCCTAGAGTCGCCAACCACCTCAATCTAGCAAAGACCTAAACCTAGATGGGTTTTGATAACTAAACCGGCTAGCGGAGCCGATTTCTAGATAGCTACCCGTCTCGTGGGCAAAACGGAAGGTTTTCAGGACAAACCTACAAAGAGATGTCACACTCTCACAGCGGCGGCGGACGGTTTACGGCGCAAACCGACAAAGATGGACAAACTAAGAGAAAACTAAAAGCAATATAAAAAAATGATTCAATTGATTGATTATAGATTGGTTTTTTACAATGAACTGGCCATGTCCCTTATATAGGGGTTGGTCTTGCCCTCTACAGGCCCTCCTCCACGTCCAACTCGGGGTAGAAACCAAAGGAAACCCGAAACATGCCTTCCCGAGCCAGGAAACTTCGAGACCCGATGAAACAGAGTCGGAATCGGACCTGCCGGTCAGACCGGCCACACACCGCCGGTCTGACCGGCCCTCAACCGGCGGTCTGACCGCCCAACACACGGCGATCAGACCGGCCCACTTTGGAGGAAACCGGTAGACTTCCAAATTTTGGCAATATTTCCTATTTTAATCCTAGGTGCCAAATTTGGGTGTAAACACATGCCCCCCGGCCTTTTTGATGAACAACGTGAATCTAAAAGCATAGAACATGTTTTTGGTCTTAGGACGATAACCCAATTACCGGCCATAGTACCTCCTAAGCGTCTTGCCAAACGCTCGGGAAGTATTTCTTCAAGTATTTCCCGTTGATTGCTCGCTGAAAACGTTCTCCTTGTAGTGTCTCCAAAAAGTATGTGTTCCCTCGAACAATGCCGCACACTCGATAAGGACCCTCCCAACTAGGAGATCACTTACTGAACTCCTTGGATCGAGTACCAAAAGGCAAAATTGTCTTCCAAATCAAGTCTCCAACTTGAAACAATTTCGCTTTCACCCTCTTGTTGTACGCCTTGGCCACCCTCTTCTTCTCTTTCTCTATCTCTTCCAATGCCTTCAAGCGGTTGTCGATGACTTCATCAAAGTTGTCTCCCATCAATATCCTGTAATCTTCACTTGACAAATCATCTTGCTTGATATAACGAAGAGAACCAAGATTTACCTCCACCGGTAAAACAGCTTCTTGACCATAAACCAACTCAAAAGGAGTGACTTTAGTGGCACCATGTTTAGGTATCCTATGCACCCACAATGCTTCAGAAAGCACCTCATGCCACCTCTTCGGGTGTTCCTTAATCTTCTTTTTCACTAGCTTTAACAATGTCTTATTACTCGACTCGGCTTGTCCATTAGCCTGAGCGTAGTAAGGAGAAGAACTCAACAATTTAATGCCATAAGATTCGGTAAAACTCTTCACTTCCTTAGACATAAAAGAAGCACCTTGGTCCGTAGTTAATGTTTGTGGAATACCAAATCTATGAATAATATGCTTCAAAATAAAGTCAATTACCTCCGTATGAGTCATATTCTTCAAAGGCACGGCTTCGGCCCACTTGGTGAAGTAATCCGTAGCAACTAGCACGAACCTATGCCCCTTTGATGACGAAGGATAAATTTGACCAATGAAATCCAAAGCCCATCCTCGGAACAGCCATGGTTTGATTATAGGGTTCAACACGGCGGCGGGCGCCAATTGAACATTGCCGAACCGTTGACAAGCCTCGCATCCTCTATAATATTTGAAGCAATCATCAATCATCTTCGGCCAATAGAACCCCACTCTTCTAAGCAACCAATTTATCTTATGGGCCGATTGATGAGTTCCACAAATTCCTTCATTCACCTCTCCCATAGCCACTTTAGATTGATCTTCATCTAAGCACTTCAACAAGACACCATCTATGTTTCGGCGATACAAATCTCCATTAAGCAATGTATATTTGAATGCTTGCCGCCGAATTTTCCGATCAACCTTAAGCGTGGGATCTTTTAGATATTGAATCAAAGGAATTCTCCAATCCTCTTCTGTATCCTGGGCACAGATGTCCGAATTCTCAATTAATTCGGCCTCCAAATCGATTGAAGCGTGCCCCCCAGCGCTCTGCCCAAAACCGGTCAGACCGGCCACGCAGGGCCGGTCGGACCGCTCGGGGTCGCCGATCAGACCGGCAGTATACAGCCGGTCAGACCGCCCTTGGTCACCGGTCAGACCGGCCGTGCAACGCCGGTCAGACCGCCTCTGGTCTCCAGTTTTGCCAATTTCACACAAAGATTTAAAATCAAGCACCGGCTCTTCTAATATCATAAATAATCCCTTTTTCACATTATGACCAGATGCTTGTTGTGCCAAGTCATTTGCTCTAGAATTATCACGCCTAGAAATATGTCTAATAGCAAAATTATCAAAATTGGCAATAATATCTAAACATGAATCGAGGTACCTATTTAGTGATCCGTCCAAGCATTTGTAGACTCCGGCGACTTGTTGCACCACCAATTCCGAATCACCAAAGGCCTCCACATATTTAGCTCCAACCATCTCCATAACTTGTAAGCCGAACAATAAAGCATTGTATTCGTCTTGATTATTTGTGCAATAATATTCCAAACGAACCGATGCCTCATAACACATGCCATTAGGTGAAAACAAAACTACCCCTATGCCTTGACCTTCTTTGCAAGAAGAACCATCAAAATAAATCTTCTAAGGTATAACTTCAACTAAGCAAACCTCTCCCTCATAAGCAACATCTATATGATGGTCTACTATAAAATCACATACAATTTGGCCTTTTATAGATTTCAATGGTTCATAAGCAAATCATATTTTATCAAAGCATATGCCCACTTGCCAATTCTCCCACTTAGAATTGGCCTTTGCAACATGTGTTTAATAACATCGGCTTGACAAGTAACTATGCATGTACTAGATAACAAATAATGCCTCAATTTGGTACAAGCATAGTATAAGCATAAACAAAGCCTTTCTATGAAGACATACCTTGTCTCGGCATCCAAAAGACGACGGCTCAAATATGTAATGATATATTCCTTGCCATCTTCCTCTTACGTCAAAACGGTACCAATGACTTTGTCCTCGGAGGCAATATATAACCAAAAAGGCTTTCCGGCTTTAGGCGCTCACACAACGGGTGGAGTAGACAAATATCTCTTCAACTCTTCAAACGCCTCTTGTTGTTTTGCCCCCCAAGTAAAATCGGCTTCTTTCTTCAAACGAAGTATAGGAACAAAAGCATCGATTTTACCCGCTAGGTTAGAAATAAACCTCCTCAAATAATTCATCTTACCTAGCAACTTTTGAACCTCTTTCTTGCATGTCGGCGCTTTGAAATCACGAATCTTTTCTATCTTCTTAGGATCAATCTCAACTCCTCTCTCATGCACCATGAATCCTAAGAACTTCCCCGCCGACACACCAAAAGCACATTTAAGTGGGTTCATCTTCAAACCATACCAGCGCATCCTCTCAAAAGCTAACCTCAAATCAGCTATGTGTCCTTCCATACCATCCGATTTGACAACAATATCATCAATATAGATCTCTAAGATAATACCTAGCAAATCATGAAAGATCAA